TTTTATACTGCCTTTTTAAAAAAAAATTTTAGTTATAGTTGGACACAATACCTTTATTTTATTTATTTATTTTTATGTGGTGCTGAGGATCAAACTTAGCACCTCGCTCATGCTACTTGAGCACTCTACCGCTGAGTCACGACCTAAACCCCTTTATAGTGACTTTTTGTATTAAGTTTATTTACTTGGGAGAATTTCATTTTCATAGAATATGGGAAGTATGACTATGATATATGTAATACATACAACGACTATAGCAAAAATCCTGGTTAAACTAACATGCCTTGTTTTGTATATAGTTTTGTTTTTTGTTTGTTTTTTAATTCTGAGCATCAGAAGATTGACTGTTAACAGATTGGTACAGTCTACCTAATCCATTTACACATACATATAATCACTGAACTCATTACAGAGCATTACACATACATAACTTGACAATAACCAAAATAAAAAGACATTAATATGAAGAACAATGAGTCCTATATGTGTACCTCAGCCCTAAGATCTAGCATTATAGGCATTTTAAATATAACCAGTCCAAAACAGAACATTGATTTTCCTATCCTCAAACTATTTCTCAAGTCTTGCTCATCTCAGGAAGTACAGCATCACACAGGAATGCCCATAACCCACCAGCACAATTTAATGTGATCACCTCCATTGCTACCATAGTATTCTAAGCCACATGGTCTTACCTATGCTAATACAAAGGCTTCCCAAATCCCATTACAGACTTTTGTTCTTCCACAATTCCACTTTTGTTTTCCCACAATTTATTCTTTACACAGTAAACAGAGTTTTGTTTTTAGAATGGCACATACTTAAGTCATAGAACAGATACAAACCTAACAATGCTATTTTTAAAATCAAAAGGCATAGGTAGAATTCAAAAGAAGATGTTTTTGAATAGCTAACCTAACTAAAATAAACACAACATTCAAAACATCAGTTAAAACTAAATATGGATTATATATTAATAAAGAAAATGCTCTTTCAGTCTGGAATGTGACTTTACAGTCCAGAGACTCAATGCAGAGATTGTACATATGTTAGAGAATTATTACATTACTAAAGATGATAGCAGGATCCTAGAATCCCTGTTTGAGCAATTCTTAAGAGAGATAAAATTACTGAAAAGGTATGTAGATATAAAGAAAAAATAAAGTATGTAAGTACAATATTCAAAAAAAAACCTAGTTAATAATAAACATGCTGAACTAATTAGATAAAAGTGCAATGATATCTATAGTTTGCTTAGAAATGCACCCAAAATATAACTGGGAAATAATGGAAGGATACAGAGATAGATAATATATAGAATGATATAATTAAATTTAGTGAAATATTCATGGTGGAATCTAGTTGATGGGTATATGATGCTTAAAAAAATTTTCACTTTTTCTTTATGTTTCAAATTTTCATAATATGGTATCCAAAAAATATATCATTAATTTGTCAAGAATATACCTCTTGAAAGAATTTTGTATCCATAAATGAGACAAGGAGAGAATTTGGATACTAAATGATATCATTATAAATTCTCTTAAACTTAGTTTAAGAAAAAGTTCTACTATTTTAAAAGGGAAAACTTTTTAATAGGTTATTTACAACTCTTACAAGAGTGAAATTAAAAATAAATTTTATTGGTCCCTTTGAAACTTAATTTCCTATACTGAACTCTTGTCAGAGTTTCAGTTGCTAATCCTTAGGGAATGAGCACAAGGGGAGAAGGAAAGTGAAGAAAAGAAATAGATAAGAAGATTTACTAGAATCAAGTTCTAAGATAATAAGGAAAAGTAAAAACAACAAATTTCTTTGATATGATATGTTGTTGATGGTGGTCATTCCTGTGTCTTTGGCTATTTCTGACAGAACTAGTGATTCCCCAGGCATATCAGACTGTATAGATACTAGCATTTGGCTTTAAAGTTGGCTCTTCCTACAGCATTTATTTTTTAAATACACTTTTTGAATACAATTAAAGCCAAGAAGTTTTGATGGTACCATTCATATATCAACAAGATATTTGTCTGTAACCTTGTAACACTGCTACCTTAAAATAATCAAGTTACAATAGATGAACCCTAGATAGGGCAGAGGGGTGGGAGGGAAAGAGAGGGGGCATGGGGTAATTAATGATGGTTGAATGTGATTATCATTATTATCCAAAGTACATGTATGAAGACACGAATTGGTATGACTATAATATGTATACAACCAGAGGTATGAAAAATTGAGCTCTACATATGTAATAAGAATTGTAATGCATTCCACTGTTATAAATAAATAAATAAATAATATGAAAAAAAAACATTAAGGAAAACCCCCCCCAAAAAAAATCAAGTTACATAATCACATTTCCTGGAGACTTCTCTGACCTGGAACCTTAATAAAATATAAGTTGAATTTAATTCAAACAAACTATAAGTTAGATGAACTGTTACTATTCCATGCTACTCATATTCTCACATTTGTATAAATGTGAGTTACTATTGGGTAAGGCTAACATAAATGAACACTAGTTATATTATAATAATAATTCAGGTGATTACAGAACACAGGTGTTAATATGTAGGCTGTATTACACATCATTATTTAAAATGGGAAATGAGACTACTCAACGTATTGAACACTAATAGTGTTAGTGATGAAAGGCCTACCGAGTATGAATTTTATGCTCCTGATAAAAGTTAAAATTTCCAAGTGTTGAGAGACAACAAAAATGAAAAAGTCAGTGATTGAATAACAAGTGAAATAAATTACTTAAGACATTAATCAAGACAATTAGGAGTTCATAACCCACTTGAATCAAAGTGTGAAATATGATATATCAAGAACTATGTAATGTTTTGAACAACCAACAATAAAAAATTTTAAAAAAAGACAATTAGATGGCAAAGACTATATAGTATAATTATCTAAATTCAGAAGGAATGATGTCTTCGTGAGAAATGCATGAAGATTTAGGTATCTTAATGTCTTTTACTCTCTCATACAGTGGAATGGTATTCAGGAACAAAAAAGCAAACATAAAACCCCAATGTAAATACCACAATAATTATATAAGAGTCATAAAGCAAAACAGATTTTATTGAACTAAGATAGAAAATTTTGCCATGTTTTTAAACTAGTTGTCTCACTATAATAGTGAAGTCATAAGAATGATTATGTAGAAATACATGATGTGTACAAAACTACATGTATATGTATATTATGACATTGGTATTTTCCTTACATCTATCTCTTCTTTAAGATACCAATTTATGAAATACAGAATTTAATTATTAGCTTTACAACATAAAAAGTAAAATGATAACACCTTAAGACCCTGTCTGAGAAAAGGCCCAGTGGCCCGCGGCGGGACAGAGCTTCCAATCACTCCTGCAAGGTAGGCGGGCCTG